CTTCTTAAGGGGCTCATATTCAGGTTTTCTACCTTTAGTTTCCAGCTTGTGATGTGAAATGATTCATAAGAGTCCTTCTAAGCAGCGCAGCAAGCCCAGTAACAAGGAGAAAAATACTAAAGGGTTTGACTTGCTTAGATGAGAAATATTAAACTTAGCATTTCTGCTGCGTCTTTATTTCTTCTAAGGATAATGTTGTTTGTATCTGTCCTGGGTTAAAATATTCTTGAGCCCAGGTGTAACCATTTTCCACTAATAATACTAACATGATGGCTATGTAGGGCCTCTAAGAAATCTCAGGTCTTGGTAGTGAGAGAATCCATTATTTTCCCATATTTTGTTGCAAAGATGTGTACATACACATAAAATATATACACAATATATATCTTTGCATATATAATATATATAAATTTTTTAATACGTGATGTGTGCACATTGAACACGATTCCTTGAAAGCGCCAGGTTGCATTTTATATTTTAAATGGACAGCTTTTGTGAGGTGATCACTAAATAAAAGGCCTTCTGAGTGTAATTGCTTGTTTTGCTCACTGTTGAGGTTGTATATTAACTGGAAAACATGCAAAAACCCAGCAGCAACGCAGTCTTGACAGCTGGTTTTGTTGGCTTAATTTGCAGGTCTTGGAGAATGCAGTCTCTAGCTAGATTCTCTTTGAAGGCACTGGTATGTCATACCATAGATGGTTTAATAAATAATCTGACCAAACTGGTGCATTCTGATAGAAAAATGTTCATAATTTCAAGTTTCTGCACTTTTGTTTAAAAAAAATAAAAAGTGATGCAGTTAAAGGGCACCACCTCCATGCGTTCAATAGGGCTGACAGCTGGGGCAAGATCTTTTTGTGGGAATTTGCAAGCCATTGTTGAGTGAAATCTTAATTTGGTGTCAGAAGAAACATCTGTGGTTTATGATCTGCTCTTAAATTTATAAACTCTTCAGTTTAGTAAAGTAGCTTAGGGAGTGTTAGAGCCTTGATGCCCCTACTTCCAGAACTTTAAAAAGTTAATTCATAGGACTGCAAATGTTGTCAAAGACAAACAGATTTCACTGAGGTTTTTAGGCACTCCAAATGTGGCTTCCTGTGAAAAAGATTCTGTTTCTTGCAGGATACAGATGCATCTTGCTAATACAAACAAACTGGCTCACCTGCTGCAATGGTTTAGATACCACTCAGATTTTAGTACCTCTTTTTCGTAGAAATTAATCTGTGTTAATGCCACAAAGCATGATTTGATCCTTCTGGAACTACTGGTCTTGTTTAAAGAGTGATTTCACAGTGGAAATGTGAAGTTTCTGGGAGGACGCCCAGCCCACTGAGCGGGGAGAAGGAACTGGTGTGCTTCGGCAGGTACGATGGCACCTGGTGGCAATGGTTCCTTCTCCCCCTCTCCTCTACAGGCCCAGCATACGCAGCTGAACTCTGAGCTTTTCTGTGAAGAAGGATCACTTGCCTCTCCCTTGCTGTGACTCAGGTCAAGAGATGTTTAACTCTAGTGTTTGATTGCTATACTGGGAAAAGGTCCTCTGGCAGACTGCTGGCCAATGTCTAATTCACAAATTTGAAGTGCCCCATCGAGCTGTTAAAATGACAAACTCTTACCAGCCTGCCTGCATGCAGTCCCTTTGTGTCCTTAGACCATCACAGCATACACCAGGACCATTGCTAGTCTCACTGCTGAGTCAAAAATACTCAGTGATGAAAGGGATATTACGTTTCAGATGGAAACATGTACTGCTTCTCTCCTTGCTTCTGAAACTTTTTTTTTCTTTCCAAAATCTTCAGGCCCTCTCATGAAGGCAGAGTGCAGAAGGAAGAGCGCTGCACAGATTCTACTGATCATTTTATTTAAAATCTACAGATGGAACTGTTCTGTTTTCAAATGGTGGTCATCTATGTAATGCCAAGTATTTTATTACCTGTGATAAAGTAAGCTATTATAAAAGGCTTTGAACCCTAGGTGTTTAGTTAAGGCTAATATTAAATCCTGGATGTTTACTTGAAATTGATAGCCTTTTGCCGGAGGGAAGGAGCAAAGAATAGGAGTTGCATATTTTTCTAATTGCTCTGATGCTGTTTTTCTTAAGCCTTCATGAAGAGAGGGAGAAATCATAAGCTGCATTCAGCCCCTTGGCTGTCGTGTGCTTCTATATCTGGAATACTTGATGCATAAAGCCGCGGTGGCTTTCCCTGGCCTCGCCGTTGAAGAACAGGGCTCTGCCTTCCGCCCTCTTTAGGGAGCTGGGACGGAGGGGAGCTGGGTTCTCGCTCTGCTGACAGCTCACAGCGGTTACATAGGTGTGGTGACCAGGGATAAGGCCGGTTGATCAAGTGAATCCTGTAGCTATTCTCGAGTAACAGGTAGAGATGGGAGTTCCACGCCCTTTTTTTATCCCTAGATTGCATTTTCACTTATTATGAAATTTAGTTAAATATCCTTCAGATTCTTTCTTACATCTTGTCACAAGAATATGGATGCCCTACGCTGACAAAATGCGTGGGAAGGTCTGGATGCTGCAGGGGGGTGTCTTAGTTAAGCGGTTTAATACTTTGGAAGTCCTATTGTGAGGTATGCCCCATTCCCCAAGAAGCCTTTCAAAAGTGAAAGTGTAGTTTAAAAAAACAAAAACAAAACAAAACCAAAAACCCAAATGAAAAAAAAAAAAACCCAAAACCCCAAACCACAACCAAATCCTGAAACTTCAACACAAAAAATGCATGAACAAAACCTCACCTCCAAAATGTACTCCTGGGCAGTAGAAAATCTCTTATTTTCATTGTTCATTCTAGCACTTTGTGTTGCATTAGCTGATTAGACATTGCATGTCCTTATGTCAATACTCCTTCATGTTAAAGCTTTATTTCAACTGGATGCGTATGATTTATTTCAACTTCCTTTTTTAAGTTAAAATAAAACTGCAAATCTGGGTAACTTGGGGAAGTTGAATTTTTCATCATGATGTCATCTCAATACGTGCATGGTATTTTATGGAAATGTTAACTATACAGAAATATTTTCCGAAAATTTTAACTTTGAGTAAATTTGGTAATACTCTTTTTCTGCTTTAAACTCCATTTATGAGGCTTAATCTATTCATGCTAATATAAATGGTACTTTGGGACAGGACCATGCATATATTACTTAAGTATTAGAAGGTTTTGCTCTTGTGGTTTTGTTTTCTTCCATATTCTGAAATTTTACTTGCTTGTATAACTTAAACTGGGTTCTAGTCTGAGTTCTCTGCGTAAATGCAGAAACTTTGCCATGTGGTTTTACAGAGAAGAGCCTGCAAACATTCGAGTGAAATTCGTGCAAGATCTAGAGAAATACAGTTGTCTTAGTGTTTATAAAGGCTCTTTCCTTGCTGGTGGATGATTGGGAGATTTTAAATAATGACTTATTGCTGTCTTGATTTTGAAAACTCATTGTAGCATCCAGATACCCTAAACCACTGGTACCACTTGAGAAGCCAGCGAAGGAGGTAGTGTCACCAGAGACGACCAGTACTTCTGGTACAGTAAAACAAACAAGTGTGTTTGCTAAGATGTGGTGGCACTGCGAAGGCCAGCAGGCTGCTGGTTTGACAGACTTTCTGCTTGCTTGTTTTGATGCGGTTGGCATGTATTGCTACAAGAAATGAAAGTGCACAGTTTTTGTTTATGTTAATATAAAGCCTTCAGTCTCAAGAATTTCAGTGATACCTGTAATACTTCGTGGACTTAACTCTTAATGTAACTGAAGTGTTTTTTCATGTCCTGATTTTGCAGAAACTCTCCTGAGCTGTGCTATAGTTTCTAGATAATACTCAGTGATTTCAGACTGTGTAACAGCTTCATCTGTTGAAGAAGCGCAATGTTATCTACCTTATGGCTTTTCCTGGGAAAGTGCTGTGCATTAAATGACATGGTCCAAACA